AGGGGGGGGGGGGGAGTGGAAGACCGTCATGAAATTACGCACATTTCCAACATAGCAACATGAAAGGCCGCCGTGTTTTCCGTGTAACTGATAATGCCACCGGCAGCGAGCGCGTGCGTCAGCTGGAGCAGCGCAGCTGCGCACCAGCAGCTCTCGTGCACACATCAGTTCCGGTTGGTTTCCAGAGGATGGCGCTATTTCCACGTTAACTCCACTTCTAACGGCTGTAGGCCAAAATGGGGCTGGGCTGTGCATCATTTGGAGTAAAAATACTTCCTGGCTTCGTCTTTAATGGTGGGAAATGTGAAATGAGTTGGGGACAAAAACTTGTTAGCAATGCAGTTTTTATTTTGTATAAAATCTACCTGGTAACTGCATCTTTATACACAATCTGACAGATTTAAAAACGAGGATGAAATCACAAATTGTTCGACCTTCAAATCAGATCATTGGCACTTTTTTTGTCATTTACTAAAAAAAGTAGAGCACGAAAATCTGAAGTTTATCATTTAACTTAAATAGAACAGACCCGTGAAAAATAAAACAGTGGTTATATGAAATGGAGACAAAGAAGGATTAAAAAAATTACAACTCATTATGCACCGGACAAACAGAAAGAAAGTTCTTTTATCTGAAACAATTTTTCATAAAGCCACAACACTCTGAGGAAACTGCAGAGCAACAGGGTCAAGACCGAAGAGTGGAAATAAATTAGAGCTTTGAGGATGTTTTATGCCTTTACAAATAAGTTCTCTTTTTCACAGAAACAGCCTCTGCACCTTTAAAGATGCCAAACGGTCACTTTCACACTATTCTGACCAGAAAGCTTTATAAATAAATACATATGTACAAAAAGCTGTTTAAAATCCTACAGGCACTTTATCTTCTGGCAGCTTCTGCCAGACAGTATCCCCCCATTTAATTTTGGGGTGGTGGGGGGGTCGAAACGGGGACTGGACAGCTGCAATCTGCAGAAATGTCAACATGACAAAGCTCTGCCCTCCACTCGGGGGACGAGTCTGCCGGCATGTGGAGGCAGACGAGCAGGATGCAGATAATTGTGTTGAACTGGCCTCCTGTGAGCGACACAATGGCCGCTTTCAGGCCCTCCGGCCGCTTTGGAAAGCTCCGCTCAGAGATGCACCCAAGCCACAACGCTGGTCATTAACCTCACGCTTAATCAAGCCTGGAAAGCTCAGTCAGGCAGCTGGAGGTGAAGTCTTCTAGAAGACGTTTGGCCTCTGATCCCACAGCTCTGAGAGAGGGCTTCAGGAGGTTAGCCTGGAGAAAGCATGACTCAGCAGGTCTCAGACAGAAGCTGTCTCCTCCTTCCAGAGCACTTTTAGGAACAACAGCCAGAAGATTCAGCTCTCAGCTGCCCTCACCTGACTCACACTTCAAAGATGAGACCCAGCTCCAGCTGCCTGACTGAACTTTAAAACACTGGACCTCCTCGATTGTCATTTTGAACATACAGTGAAGCAGCAGGGCTCAGGCAACACGGAGGGTTATTTCTCAGTGGCACCGAACCGAAAAGAGCGCTAACCTGAGACTAAAGTCCAGGGCGGAGGCCTCAGCGGGCGGCTAGAGCAGGCTGTCCAAACACTGAGCATTTCATTGAGAGCTCAGCTTTAATTAAACAGCTTGTGTCCACAACCCTCCAGTTTGTGGATTCACCGTAACAAAACTCCCACATTCGGAGGGTGGAGAACCGTTGGAGGAAATCTGTTCAGTGGACACCAAACTGTACCCGGGTCAAGCCGCTCTGTGAGGTCCTGCTCCGGTTAGCCGGACAACGCCATGGAGATGTCACTCAGGTCATTTGGAGCTGGAAATGTCAAACCCAGCCTGCGTTGTGGCAGAGGCTGACAGATGGTGACACTCCGCCGCACGGGCAGGTTTAATGAAATACGATACAGTTAGACTGCGTGCAAACCAGGGCTAAAGCAGTTTCAGCCCACATCTCCTGAAGTGACTACGTAAGGAGACATTTGCTCCCTTTGAGCCTCTGTTGATATGGTTGAATTTGCTCTAATAAAAGATGTCCGCTCACCCTCCCACTGAGGCTTCTCTGGACAACAACGCTGATTTAAAGTGTATAAAAGAAACAAACCCTTTCAAATCTGGGGAAAGTTTTAAAAAATGGTGGGCAGCTCAGTAATCAACGTTGATGAGTTCTACAGTAAATCAGAGGGGCGATACCTGAGAAACAAAAGGACAGAAATGACGTCACCAGGCTGGAAAATCCCGCTGATTCCAGCACGCCGCGGCACACCTGCTCCTCTCGGCTGGTTCCCCAGAAACACAGAGCGGAGCTCCCCCCACAGAGCCTTCAGTCTCAGCCTCTGAGGTCCTTCTGCTCGAAGACGATGTGACTGGCCAGGTAGATGGCCACGGCGCCGAAGATGGCGGAGCAGGCGATGTAGGCCGTGACCGACTGTGCAAACTGGACGATCATTCCCATGAAGAGGGTGGGGAACACCTGAGAGAGGAGGAAAGTGCTGTCCAGGATGGCGAAGTCCAGGCCCACGCCGCGCTTCTCGTAGCCCGGCTCGGCGCCGTCCGGCTCGGCGCCGGGGGGGCAGGGCGGGGGCCCGTTCTGGCCCTGGGGGACGGGGAAGTACTCGTAGCCGTCCTGGTTGAAGAAGGGATGGCGGTAAGGAGCGCCTGCTTTGGGGCCCAGGCCGTCCTCCGCCTCCCCGTCCAGCACCGGAGTCAAATACACAGAATCCCGCGTCACTCCATTTGTATGGATGCTTTTGGTTTTCCTTTTTGGCATGTAGACCTGAAACCACAGGGGACACCGGCTGGTTATTCCTGCTCTCACACGGGGTCAGAGCGGCAGCGGCCAGTGGCGAGCGGCAGCAGTACCTCTTTCTCTTTGTGGTAGTGGCAGGTGAGCGTGTACGGCAGAGTCTGCAGGGCGGCGTAGGCGTAGCCGGTCAGGGCCGCCATGGCGGTGACCAGGGCCACGCTTTTGGACAGGCAGATGACCAAAGCCGAGGCGGTGAAGCTCACCATGCTGCTCAGGTAGACCCACCGAGAGCCGAAGTGGCGGACCAGACGACTCATGACCAGCGAGAAGAAGGTGGAGGTAGCACACTGGAGGAACAGGCCCAGGCTGCCCATCCGGATCCCTGAGAGAAGATTAACATCAGATTCAAAACCCAGTGACAAACAGCTCATCCCAGAAAGGGTTTCAACATGGCTGAGACTAATCCGGCTGGGATGACTTTCACTGCAGGATGGAAAAGGTTTGGACGGACTGTCTTGGGTGATTACACGCAGCCTTAAAGCTACACGGTGTAGGAGTTTCTCCATCTAAAGGGGAAATAGTATCCTGCATCCTAACAAATTGTGCTCGTTTTCAAATGTGTATTGCAGCTACAGTAGCTGTCATGCATCAAGAGGTAATGACAACATGACTTCCACATCATCCAGTTTTCTCTGGGTGATGAGGTTTGGAATTTAGAAGAAATCACAAACTGCATTGAATCATTAGTGTGAGCATGTAATTCCTCCTCTCACTTCTTAGAGCTGGTTTCAGTCACGTGACTCTGAAGGAAAACGCGTTGTGGATTAACTAGACAGGCAGACTAGTGCTTTATGTCCCTCTCTGCCATTATAGTTTTTAAAAATGGCCGAACGCCATGGAAACCTCCGTGGACTTACCCGTCCTGTGTATATACAGATAGGAAATTATTCCTTATGAGGAGAAGTCAGATCATTGCAGAGGTCATTTTACACCAAATGAGGACACATTTAGATATTAAGACAATGATTTTAGCTAATAAAATATTCAAAACACTACACAATCGGCACAGGCCGGTCTTTGTGCCTCCTGGCCTCTGAGCCAGACAACACGCGTCTCACCGCCAGGAGGAATGTACGGTCCAAACAACAGAGGAAGAGTTAACATTCCTTTGCAAAATTAGATTAATATACAGTAAGTTGGCTTCCTACACGTCTGCTGCAACGTGTCAGCTTTCAGCTCCATGTATACCGAAAATAAAAAAACTCAAATGAGGAAGATTTGAAAGCCATGAACGTTTATAACTGACTGTTTCTATTTTAAACTATAAAGCACCCAAACACGGGTTTGACAACTGGTGTAAACAGTGACTGTGGGGAGGAAAACTAGGAAAACCACACATTACTCTGACCCTTTGAGATGCCTCCTTCATTTGGAAGAAAGAAAAAGCATAATTATTATCTGGAAAAAGAGAAGTTATGGCCTTTTTAAACTCACTGAGTGCAGCCTCACATACATCTGGCCTCCTGGCATATTTGCTGGACGTGGGCATTAATCTGTGGATGCTGAGCTGATTACATTTCAGAGCCGTTTTGTTCCTGCCTGCAATCATTCTCATCTAAGCCGTCTGTCAGTGAACACTGTGGGTCAAAAGTTCATCTGCGGAGCAGACGACCTCATGTAAAAAGAATAAGTGGATCGCATTACTCCAGGAAAGCAGAGCTGCTGAGCCCACTTTACAAATACTACTGCGTACAAATACCTTCCACAGCCCACACACCTAAGATAACTCCTTAATAAATACTGCAGATAATTACACATAGCAATAAAACAAATGCATTATATAAGAGAGGTGTAAAAAGAAATTATAAAGAAATAATCAATAAAAAGGGGGTTTTATTGGCACTATATGAACTTTAAGCTAACTTAGCTTATTTTATTCATTTTTTATTTTATATTTTCTTTCCAGGACTTCGACGCAATATGTTGGAAATTTACTTTGAGTGTCGAGTCGAATATTTGATCGAATTTCACGTCGGAAGTTGGAAAATTCGTATGGTTAGTCAATCGGAAGTAGAGGCTCTGCTGTATAAACGACATATTTTACTCTCATGCACAGAAACAAATGCAGGACGCAGGATAAAGTGGTTTAACAGCATCGGCTGCGTCTCAGATCAAACAAACCGAACTCAGACGGAGCTTAAAGTCCTGCTCCGGCCGTCTACCTGACCTGAGTGAACATGTTCTTTGTTCCTTGACATTAATTCTTGGTGAGTGTGACATTCTTCGGGTTCCAGCAAACACGGGCGGCAAAAGGACGACGAGTAGAAAGTAAAGGGGGAGACAGATGTGGACAAATGAGAGGAGGACAGTGTGGACGGACAGACCAAGCTAAAAAGGTCCAATCAGAGTTTTCTCACTCGAGGACTATAGTACAGCAGAGCCTCTACTTGCGATGCCTAAACATACAAATTTTACAACATACGAGGTGAATTTCTATCAAATATTTGACTTGACACCCAAAGTAAATTTCCAACATACAACGTCAAAGTTTCTCTTGAAGTGTCTTGTAAATATAAAAATTAAACAGAAATTAATAAGCTAAGTTAGTTTAAAGTCAGAGTAAGTTACGGCACATACTGTATTATTAATATTTCTTTATAATTTATTTCTTATTCTACATATGAATTTAATTCCTTTGATCCCATTTCACTTTGTATGTTTAGGCGGTCATAAGTAGAGGTTCTGCTGTATTCAACAAATCTGGCGCGGTTTAGCCGGAGGCTGCAGACTGCTCTGGGAGGCGTGCTGCCTTCACACACAGTCCGGCTCTCAGAGCATCCACAGAGGAGCTGCTGACCTTCGTCGTATCTCTGCCTGGAGACGGTTCCTGGCGAGGCGCTGGGCACGCCCTCGTACAGGCCCTCCCCCACAAAGTCTGTGTAGAAAAGCATGAAGGACATGACGGCCATCCAGCTGCAGAGCTGGGCCACGCACAGCTGCCTCATGACCCGCGGCACGCGGCAGTAGCTCCTGAAGATGGCGGGCGTCATGGCCCCGCAGGTCCTGAGCAGACAGAGCAGGGGGCCGGCCCTCAGCAGCCTGAGTTTGCACTTCAGCCCGTAGCAGCAGGAGCGCCGCACGCCGGCGCCGCCGCGCCCGCCGGCCTCCGCCGCCACGGCGCCGCCGGGGCCCGGCTCCAGCAGAGACCCTGGCCCCGCCAGCCCCCCGCCGCCACCGCCGCCGGCACACGGGGGCTCCTCAGACACCTTCATGGTGATGAGCACGCTGGACACGAAGATGAGGATGAGGAGGGAGAAGAGGCACTCGGCCTGCCCTCCGAGGTAAAGCGACAGCAGGCCGCGGCTCCAGTCCAGCGCGGGCAGCAGGTAGCCCACGCAGCCGCCCAGGCTGACCATGAAGCTGAACATGGCGAAGGCCTGGCCGCAGTCCTCCTCGTCCCGGTACAGGTCCGACAGCAGCGCCTCCAGCGGCGTGAAGCACACCTGGCCACAGAAGTCCAGGAGCCCCACGCCCAGGATAAGGAAGCCCACCTGGGACAAATCAGAAAGGAGACGTTTTTTTACAGTTTCAAGTCCAATAATAACATCTAACCACAGGCTGGAAAATGCCCGTAAAGCCATCGGCCTCACTTATGGTGTCATTAGTTTGATTTTACTCGACTTTTGATCCTAAAACGCTGCTACTGCTTTTGGTGCTTCTGGAAGCTTTAAAGCCCCCAAAACAGCTTTAAAGCCCCAAAAGAACAGCTATAAAAGCCCGAAAAAAAACGATTTAAAGCCCGAAAAAAATCTTTAAAGCCCTCAAAAACTGTTTTAAAAGCCACAAAACAGTTTTAAAGCCCTAAAATCAGCTTTGAGAACTGTGACTTTGTGTTTACTTTGTAAGTCGCTTTGGATAAAAGAATCTAAATGCAGAAACATAAATCAGGTTCATATATCCAGTGCTGGCTGCATCCACATCTCATTTCACAGCTTCTGAAACTAACCTGACAGACCTGGAGGGTGCGCCCACCCCAGGCCAGTTGAGCTGCCAGCACGTCGGCGTGGGGAATGATGAAAAGCGCCACCAGAACCCCCAACGACAGCAGCCAGATGAACGGGCGCCTTCTGCCGTAGCTGCTGTTGCAGTGGTCACTGGCCGATCCAATCAAAGGGATGAACAGTAGGCCAAGAACCGGGCCGATACCTGCAGCGTGTGAGGGAACAGCAAACGCATCAGGAAGTGGACACGCTCACAGGAGGGCATTAAATATATTACTGTTATCATTAACATTACGATCGATATCTACCACTTTTCATCCAGCCTACAGCAGCTCTGCCTTTCCTGTCTGTACTTCTATGTGTTACTGTGGAGGCCGACTCCCCCTGCTCCCTGTCATTTTCTCTCCGTCTCTCTCTCTCTCTCACCCAGATGTCTCCCCTCTCTGGTTCTGCTCGAGGTTTCTTCCTTTACCTGGCCTGTGTCTTGCTGCTCTTGGTGGGAATTGCTGGGCTTCGGTAAATAACTCCGTTCTGACCTGCTCTGCTTGGATAACTGTTGATGAGATTTGGCGCTATTTGAATAAAATTGAATTGAATAAAAAAATATTTAAACAGGTAAGATAATGTCTTTTTTTTCTTCTAAAACAGTTTATAGAAATTATAGAGAACAAAAATCCTCACCCAGAGCTCTGGTCACCCCCCCAAGTAACAGAGTAAAAAGGGACGGAAACATTCAGCTTTAACTTTTCAACCCATCATTTCTGGTTTCAACCGGAAGAAAGAGTACCGCAGTAACTGACTATTAATATCATTTTCTACCCCAAAAGTCCTGGAACCATGATTCTACACAGTGTCCACAGGTGCTTATTTGAGCCCCCACAGTTCCTTCTGGTCTGATGATGTTGGTGAGGAGCCTCTCTGCCATCAGCGCTCTGTGCTCCTACAGATGGCTCGCCGCCTGAAGGCAGCAGCTTATCCTCCACACGTGGCCGGTTCTGGCTAATTGGAGCGCACCGCACTGCAGTGCGTGCCCACATAATGATACAAAGACCTCTAAAATCTACCCCGTGGAGTTTATATTACAGTCACAAAGGACTCTGATAAGAAGCAATGGACTTTAAAAGGTTACTCTGTGTGGTTTAAAGCCCACAAAGGACAGCGGGAGAGGCAGGTAAACAGAGACAGAGAGTAAAGCTGCCGGCACAGCCAAATGCTCACCGTGTACATCTGCAGCTCCACTCAGTAGCTGCTCACACTCACAGACTCACACAGAGACACACCATCCCATCTCTGACTCTCACATTTACCAGCTTTTACAGACCTGCAGATCCATAAAACACTGGGCTAAGCTAACCTACCGAACGCACAATAGTTCCCAAATATAGTTTAAAACTCAGGGAAATGTAGTTTTCACAATAGTAGAGTGTCTTTAACACTAAAAAAATTATGAATTTCACAACTCAAGAATGAAGCAGCCTTTTCGCAGCCAGCAGAATTTAGTGAGAAACCCCCTCCTGAGAGAAATATCTAGTCATATAAGGCACAATTTTGTACTTCCTCACCCTTCCTTCCTCACATTGGTACATAGAAAAAAGCTAATTATTTATTTATAGTTTAGCACACAACACTTCATGTTGAGGGGGAACTTTTATTAAGTACATTTTCTTATTTCGGGAGCAGCCAATGAGCCTATGGTTCAGGTGTGTACTCAATTCAAACAGCCATGTTTCCTGCACATTCAGCTTTGTGTTACCGTGGAAATCCGATCATCTGTACAGTCACAAGGCAAAGTCTGAAAGAGACGCTTTAGTGAGCGACATGTGAAATCCATTTGGGAAAGTGTGACTATTCACATCAACTGGAAGCAAACTCAGTTACACCGAACACATGAATGATGCTAATTTACACAGATTACTCTCACTTGTAAGCACAGAAACTACGCTCCTTCATTGCTTTAAAGTTAAAATTAATACACAAACAAAGCCCGTCTGTGTTGCTGCTGTTTTGTCAGGTTTATAGGTAGAACACCTCTACTTACGATGCCTAAACATACAAATTTTCGAACATACAAAGTGAAATTCAATCAAATATTCGACTTGATAGTAAATTGATCGTAAATAGTACATTTCCAATGTAGAAAAAGTCATAGAAAAAATATATAAAATATAAAAATAAAATAAAGATAAATAAGCTAAGTTAGTTTCAAGTTAAGGTAGTGAAAGTTAGAGTAAGTTATTGTAATTATCTGCAGTATTTATTAAGGAGTTATCGTAGGTCCTTGGGCTGTGGAACGTATTTATAAGGGTATTCTTATGGGAATATTTTACAAACATACACCTGTTTTAACATACAAAGTTGGTCCTGGAACGACTTAAATTTGTATGTAGAAGTTCTACTGTATCTGCAAAAAACATACACTGAACAGTAAAACTACTGTGCATCTGTTTCTATTTGTCATGCTTGTTTTCAAGCAATCTGCAGATTTAAGGGGAACAGTTAAGCCAAAGGGGGTCCCTCAGATGTTAGAGTCACTTTTGGTTTGAGGTAAAGAAAGAATCTGAATCTTTGTTGATGGTTAACCAACAACTGGAAGCACTCAACGTCTGCTTTTACGGTTAATGCACTGAAAACACTTTTATGCATCATTATATTAACTATAAAATGTAGCAGACGGCTTCCTGGCCAAGGGGCACACAGCAAACTGGGAAAACATTTCATTATCTCATCCATCTCCAGTCGTTAAGCTTCTGTTTCACCAACACAATTTCTTGCCTTTACTTTCAGGCTCATTAGAGAAAGTCCATCCCTCTTTTGGGAGTTGCTTTGTAGTCATTTCTTATGTTAGTCAGGGCATTATATTTGCAGGATTTAAACGGATTGCACTAGCTTTTCCACAGCCTGAAGGGAAATGTGAGCAAATCTGGATTCGTACACTAATAAATAGGAACACATTCCCTCAGAAAAGGCTCATTATTGGCCAAAGCCTCTTATTAGCTGCTAGATCCCGAAAGCCTGAAAACACGACCAAGATGAGGTCAAGAGTTATCACATGGATTACAGAGTACTTAAACAGCTAAGCATGAAATGAACCCCAAAGAAATTAAAAATGGAAAAACAAGAATGTTTTGGCTAATGAAGAAGATCTGGAGCAGTGACACTGTGAGACCCGAGGAAACGTCCACTGGCTGGGAGACGGTGAGCCTGCTGACAACCTGCTAAACCAAAACTAATTACCACACCAACAAAGAAACAGATGACTCGGCCAGTCATTTCTGTGGTCCTCAATTATTTCTCTGGGACCTGAATGGGGAAGAGCCCTATACAGTATCCCCAAGAGCCATGAAAATTTATCTTAAAGATCAATCAATCCAAATGTATTTATATAGCACTTAACAACAAGCAGCGGGCAGCCAAAGTGCTTAACAAAATGAGTAAAATCACAACATACAACAGAAAGAGTGTACATAGAAAACAGTAAAACCAGAAAAGGTCACAAAGAAACAAAAGAATGAAACTGTCACACCGCTGCTACGTGTTAAAGCCAGACTGAACAGATGTGTTTTGGGATTGGACATAAAAACAGTGATATCTGTAACAGAATATCCGGGGTCTCGGGGTCTCAGGGCCTGATTACCCCCCCCCCCTCGTTTATACCCTGACCTTAAGACTCTAAAACCAACTGATCTGAAATCAGTAACATTTCAGACAAATACTTTAGGGCGAGACCATTTAAAACTTAAAAAACAAAAACTTAATTCTTAAAGGTACACCACGGTGGAAGAATTGGTGCCGGTGGTTGGATGAGCACCTACCCAGCACCATGGTCATGTAGCGCTCCTCCACGCCAGCCTCCAGCAGCAGCGGGGGCACGTACGTGATCCCAGCCGCCACGCAGATCTCCAGGCCACAGGTCAGCGAGTTCAGCAGGATGAGACGCCACTGAGACCTCCATCCAGGCATATTTACAGGGGCCGGCTCGCCTTTCTGGGACGGCCACTACTGGCGGCGGGGGGGAGGGGGGGAGGACGGGGAGGCAAACGCTGCCCCAGTGGGACCTGAGGACGGTCGGGGGGGTACAGCAGCAGAAACGCGTGGATGTCTCCGGTGGCCTGGAGAATTCATTCTCTTGTCAGCATTCTGGGTCTGCAGAGGAAAAGAAAAGGCATGAAAACAAGAGTTTGACACGCAGCTTCGACAAAACTCACAACTTAAAGCTACCCGGTGTAGGAATTCCTCCGTCTAACGGTGAAATTGTATTCTGCATCCTAACAGTTCCTGCTCTCTGGCGCCTTCATTTTTAAATGGGTATTGCAGCTACAGTAGCCGTCATGCATCCAGAAGTAATGACAGCATGACTTCCACATCATCCAGTTTTCTCTGGGTGATGAGGTTTGTCATTTAAAATAAATTACAAACTGCATTGAATCTTTGGTTTGAGCAGGAAATTACTCCTCCAACAAGATAGTGAATCACGTTGCCATGTTAGTTTTTTTTATTTGTTTGTAGCTTCTCGTTACTAGCCTATGTCGTAGCTAGCATTAGCTAACAACTTGAAAATTATTTTAGCTAATAAAATACTTAAAATACCACACAATGTCCCTTTAATCATTTTCTGCTGTTAGAGGCAATCAGCAAATGTCACTGTCGGGGTGCCGTTAGTTCCTTTCCTGGCTGAACACCAGCATTAACAGATTTCTGAACAAGGGCTACAACATTTCCTTAATTACAGTAATAATTGTCAGAGTCCATCTACAAATGAAGGGCCACAAGAACAAGAGACAAACAAGAGAGCTGAGTCAGCTGAAGCGCCCTTTTATTTCGATTTTAAAAATTTAACTTTACTTTTCAGCTTTGAAAAACAGCTTTTATTTCACATCTCTCTGCTCTCCCACTTCTCCACAGTAACACCGGCATTAGGGGGAGGATCTGAAATCCACTCTTTCCTTGGCTGGCCCTGTTATTATGTGCATTAATAGGCTCTGATTGCAGCTTTAGTCACATTAGAGAGCCCTCCTTCAGAAATGTGCGGCAGATTACTACCTTTGTTAAGGGTGCATGAAAAGCAGTCTTTAACAATGAAGGGCGCTCGCTAAAGAGAAAGCGGCGAGCAGGAGGGCGGATTAAGTCAGATGTACGGGAAACAAGACAATAAAGCCACCAAAGACACAGTTGTCAAAGTTGGGACGTTACAGGTTTTTCTTCCAGATCAAGAACCTGTCGGCCACAGCTTTGTAGCCCCGAATGGCTCCGTTTCTATACCTCATCCTGCACTGACAGACAGGCTTAGCACGCTGTAAAGGGCTCATTTTCCCAGCTTCTCCATTACATGCCTTTTTGTGCAGATCCCTTTTTTTCCTCCAAACCTGTTCTCTCTCTATATAACCCTCCCCTGTTTGGGTCGTTGTAGTCTTTAGAATAAATCAGATTATTATCAGTTTAACAGAAAGACGAGAATCAGACGTGTAACAGCAGGTTTAACCCTTCTGATGAATTAAAAATGATGAGAATCTGAGAGACAAGCAATGATGAAGCAACAAGTCCTCCTTAGATATCGCTGCATCACTGTTTTTAAGAAACCTCAACACAGATTGTTTTCCTTTCTGAGACAGAACGTCAGATAAATAGAGAAACTGCACAAGCAAGACAGCCATTATCAGCATCTCTGTCCAATAAGGTGAGTTGTTCTACTTCAAAGCAGGAAGAGTCGTCAGAAACGCTGCAAACACAAAAATACCAGCAGTCTATATTTGTATTTGTGAGGTTTCTCTGCCAAAGCCGCCCATCTGTTGTCTCCGAGCATGCAAATGGATGTCATCATGTCTAACAAGACTTTTTGATCACAGAAGTGCACTCAGCTGGTATTTCAACGAGTTGAGCCCAGAATTATTCACAGCCACGCCGAAGGTTGAGCACGTTAACTGAGTTCAAAATGAGCAGCAACAGACGATAAAAATTTGTGCTAAAATGCCTTTAAAAAAAAAAAAAAAGAGTAATTTCAGTTATTTTGAAAAACGTGATCAGTAGTAACTCATCCAGCCTCCAAACCAACAGCCTGATATTTAGCTCAGGCTCCGGATTGGATTGAGGCCTTTGAAGTCTTTATGAAGTCTTTTTATTTGACACAAACAAATCATTACTTTGCAGACAATCACACACCACTACAGAAAAACCCAAGACGAATACTAAGTTACTAACTCGGAGAAAAGATGCTGGAGACAATTGGTCACTCCAAACTTTTTTTCTGAGACGTTTTCATTAAAGGGACACCGTGGAGTGTTTTAAGTACTTTATTAGCTAAAATCAAAGTCCTCATTTCTAAATGTGTCTTCATTTGGTGTAAAGTGACCTCTGCAATGATCTGACTTCTACTCATAAGAAAAGAAAATCCTAACTGTACATACACAGGACGGGTAAGTCCACGGAGGTTTCCATGGCGTCCGCCATTTAAAAAAACTAAAATGGCAGATAGGGACATAAAGCACTAGTCTGCCTGTCTAGCTAATTGAAAACAAGTTTTGCTTCAGACCCAGAGTCACATGACTGCAACCAGCTCTAAGAAGTGAGAGGAGGAATTACATGCTCACACTAATGATTCAATGCAGTTTGTGATTTCTTTTAAATTACAAACCTCATCAGTCAGAGAAACTGGCTGATGTGGAAGTCATGTTGTCATTACTTCTGGATGCATGACAGCTACGGTAGCTGCAAACACCCATTTGAAAACGGAGGCGCCAGAGAGCACGATTTGTTAGGATGTAATATACTATTTCACCGTTAGATGGAGAAATTCCTACACCGGGTAGCTTTACTTTTAAAACGGGTGAAAATCCTTTGTTTCCCCACAGCAGAAAAGTTTTCTGACGCAGTTTTCTGTAACAATTTCACACTCTGCAATCGTGTGAAAGAAGACAGAAAAAAGCATGTTACTGAGAGCAGCTTTATTAGGGGTTTGGTCATCTAACAGACCGAATGTATGAGCACAGGCGGCATGCAGAGGCCTGGAGAAGCAGAATAAACACGCAAACAGCACAGCTGCTGCTGTTTGCCGACCCAACACATCAACTGTAACGGTAAATATAGAATTAGCATCATGTTAGAAAACATTTCTATGGCAACAAAAGCCTCGACGTGTTGTCTCATTTGCTCCATACGCTAATGTTAGCTCTGAGGCTAAACCTCTCACACTGGCTGAACGGACTGACGATCAAAGACGAAAAAGGTGAATAAGTGACACATGGTCCATGACAAAACGAGTTAGTAGCTAAAGCTACGTGGATGTTAGTTATTCCCATCTCCAGTCCTGGGCTTAGGGTCTGAGATGCCACCACCTCTTTGCTCCTGTCTGGATAAAAGAAGCAGCTCTTCGAGTATCATATTATTAGATTTTTCAAGTGCTTTTAATACAATTTCAACTGTGCTGTTATGCGAGAAGCTCCTGCAAACAGAGGCTAAAACCTCCACAACCGCCTGGAATATCGACTATCTGGAGAACAGATGACATGAGAACGAACCCCGATTGGTTCTCACCATAAAAAGCTCAAGGGCTACGCCGTTGAATCAGTGATGGACAAAAGACTGAGTACAAGGAATGAGTCGTGTGCTTTACGTCATGATTTAGTAACAATCATCTACCATCATCCAAATCTTCAACCTCTTTTAACTCAGTTTTAATGTTTGTTTTGCATCTCTCTTTTTAACATTACGCACATGCACTGTTTTTAATTTACAATTAACTTAATAGATAAAGATTTTAAGCCCGTAATTAAATTAATTTCTCCTTCAAGGTAAGTAATAACATTCACCACACAAGCTTTTAGAAAATAAGCAGTCAACTTTTCATTTAATAGCTAAATGATTAAAGCAATGTGAAAAAAAGTAGATAAATAAATTTAATATAAATAAAACAAAAATAAAAAATAAAGATAAAGGAATTGCTAATAACCACGATTCAGAGGCATAAAAAGGAGGTTGTTCCTCTGAAACATCTCAGTGACTTAACTGTGAGAAGCCCCCCTCAAACCCGAGACTAGCTGGGTATTCTCATTTAATTAGCTTCAAAAACACTAATGTTTTCTGAAGAAACTCCAACAAGCGTGGGGGGTTGATCAGTGATTTCTGTTCCCAACTAAAGAAACGCTCCTCCTTTGACATCATTATAGTCACTGACATTTACTGAGAGGCAACAACACCATCCGTCCTGAATGCATTCACACATTTCCAGCTCGGTCCCTGAGAATGCTCTGATACGGAGGATCACCTCTGAGACGCTCAGGGACAAAGCAGCAGTGTTAGCCGGGCGGCCTCGTTGGAGGGCCTGGGTCAGGGAAACAGGGGACCATTTCACACCCGTCAAATCTCATTCCCTCCCAGCCTGGGCACACTGAAAGCCGCCCATCAGGGGACCAGCCTCTGGCCCTCCGGCTCGTCTGGCCACCGCGACCCCCCGCCATATTTTCTGCGTGTGCACACATTCGTCTTCCTTCTGTTTTGCATTTCTTGCCCGTACTTCCTCAACCCCGGAGGTCAGCGTCGTGCCTGACCTGCATTCTTCTGACATATCTGCCCACAACTGGTTATGCTTTTGAATGTCAATGTGGGGGGCTTTCAATCGCGGCCCCAGCTGACTATCTGTCAGACTTTCTCACAGAAAACAGGGGGTCCCCGGAGGCTAAAACCCGGACAACCAGGGCTTGTCTGGACACTTCTGGGTTTTCTACACTGAATATTTTCCTAATTCTTGCGCTGGCTGACATGAGTCACAGGGAATATGGAGGGACTGACGAACACAAGCTGTGCGCCCAATAGTCAAATAAGAAATATTGGACCTGTTTTATTGTAAACATAGCCCTCAATTATTAAAGAAAAAAAAGAGCGGAGCCAGTACATTAGGGACAGAAGTGAGGGCAGAAAAGAATACACACACACATCGGTTATTTTATCTCCTTAAAACTTGACACACA